AACTGCTCAACATCTGTAAATGTGTCTGAACGCTAGGCGTGTTTAGCCCTTCGGTGTGAATTCATTTCAGTGGCTAGAATAAATTATTATTCTGGCCAATTAAATAACTTAACATCCAAGCACTTGATGCGCCTAAATGCGTAACACTTTTACAAACGTCAAGTTTTTTTTTTTTTTCTGTAAAAAACACTGCTTCCAGGAAGAAAGGCTTCTAGGAGAGGTGGAAAAACCTTCTGTGTACACGAGGCCTAGGAAGTAGTACTAGCTTCCCCACCCACCCCCTCCCAAAAGAGTCACTTAAAGGTTGTAAGCTGATCCGGGTGGGTTACATCATCCAGTGGTTTACTATATTTAATCAGCAACACTCAATTGTAAAATCTCCCTGCAAGTACATTCTTCATGAAAATTCCAAGAGAGTGAGATTCGCTCATAACTGTAGCAGCTGGGCGGAGTTTGGAACAAATATGCAGTCTTCCCCACTGGTGTCCCCAAGCTTTGAGTAAGACCATTTTGAAATCAAATCTAAATGGGAAAAAAACGCTTTTAAAGTGCTTGTCTGACCTATCAAGAAAAAGACCCCTCCCCTTTCCTCCTCTAAATAAACCATCCGTATTGGACTAATTTTTATCTCATTACATATCATGTTGTGTCATGGTTTATTTTCTTTGCCCTGCATGCCTGAATTTTGTTGAATGATATTTAGAAAAAATAATATACTAAATCTAGGTTCCAAAACAGACAATTTCAAACACTTAAAGAACAAAACAAAAAGCACACAACAACAAAATGTTTTTCATCATTAAAACCATTTAAGACCATGAAAGATCTAGCGTGACTCTATGGCTTAGAAAACGTATAATGAACTTTGATGACATGTGAAGCCAAACAAACATTTAATCATAGGTGATGGATATTCCAGCATTATCCATTGGTGTTTAGCAATAACACGAAGAAAGGAGAATTCAGTGGTTTAACCCAAAGCAATCCACTTTCATTACTCAGACTTCAAAAGCTCATTTCCTATCAGCTGTAAAAGGTTACAACACTACATTACCCTTCACACAATGTTATTAAATCAAAACCAAATATTTTTAAAGTGCTTAGATTAACATAATGGTAGATGAGTTTTTTTGGTCACTAAATTATAGTCCAAGATGCGACACACACCAGATACTAGAGTTTTTATTTCTCACGCCATTTTCTGCAGTTTTCAAAAGCTGGCCATAGGCAGCTCAAATTGTAACCGATTCCTCCTGAATAGCTGTGGGTGGCCCTATCTACACCATCAGGGTTGACAAAAGTAGATTTAAAAATCAAAATGAGCCAGGTGTAAAATTAAAAAAAAAAAAAGAAAAATACGGTCCGACAGTGACTGCCTCCTATCAGAAGCAGTCACTGTTCAGGTGTTCAGACAGCTGCAAGTGCCTGAATTACAACAGCCTGCAGTGGAGATTCCTCCATCCATGCCATTTAGGCTGAATGTGGGAATCTATGAATTTCTGCTTGTTCAGCCCATGGGCTGAATCCCAAAGATCTAGCCATGTATGGCTAGTATTAGCAGAAGGGCCCAAAACCAAGGAGTAACTGCTACTATGTAAATGCCTGCTAGGGGCTGCAGGGAATATTCCTTCTAGTGCAAACCAAACTTCACCATGTGCTTGTGTGTATTGAGACAGACATTCAGTGCAGTAGGCCTTTTCTGCCTTGGCATTTTGGAAGTGTTTGGGAGGGGGAGATAAGTTATTGGCATCCCATTTCCATGCCTGCATTTTGGGCTTTAAAGGAAAAATAAAAAAACATTTACTACAATCTGATAGTTTCCAGTGTAAAGACAAAACACCAAAGTACAAACATCTTATGACAGACTACATTCACGTGATTAAAGTTCAATTTGTTTGTGTTCTCATCAGTAGAAAAAGACTTGTTCAAAAAGGGAACCACCAGATCTGTGTAACAGCTAGTTAAACAGAGACCCTCACAGGTCATGGTTACAGCCCGACATACTAAAATGATAGAAGTGCCAGAATTCATAGCAGCCAAACCAACATTTAATTTGAACATCTTGATCTACACAAAATGTGACAAAAGAAAACTTTATATCTTCCAGATGGTAATGCCAGCACATGCAGTACAAATTGCTCGACAAAACAGTACTGACAGTAGAAAGCATCTGAGGATGTTGACCAATACAACCAATCACATTTACCTTCTGATTTTTTATGATTTGTGAATGGTAAGGGTATACTGACTGGTTGTTAGGTGCTAAAAAAGTTTCTCCTGATCTCACATATGCACCTTTCCCCTTCCTGAGATTCTGGTCATTTTTGGGTGAAAGCATCCTGAGTGATACCCAACAGTCCCATGAAATCCCAGATCATCTGCACATGTTTTGTAAAGGTTTCTCATGTTTTTGGCAAGTAACAAGTGAAACATTGAGGTTATAGCCTTACATAAAGGGCTTTATGCAATGGGATACTCCCAAGCTCATATCCAGGGAGAGAAAATATTGGAGGAAGTGCACCATTTAGGTTTTGTCTTTCATCCTTCTCCTGTCTTCGTTCATCCCAACATCGCATGAGACATGGAACATTTTTCTGTATGCAGAACGGTTTAGGTCTGTGTTATACAACTGTACCCTACATTTCTGATCCAAATATTTGCCATTTGCCAAAAGTCATCGCAGAAGAAAGGTAGGTTGAAAGATGCCTACATGTCCATAGTCTTACCATGTTTACATATGTCTTGCCTTCAGTTGCTGGTATCCCACAGTAATCCACTTTCAAAACCAATGCTGCGATTTGAAAGTGTAGTGGCGAATATATAGTACATTCATGCAGGCAGACACTGAACTGGAAAAATTACCCATAATGCCCTTTGTACAGAGGCCGTCAGAATTCCAGTGTGAAGTATTATCTAAAAGACTTCTAGTGCCTGGACACCTCATCCCCTGACAGGATTTATGTGTCTGATGAGTATTATAGTGTAACGGAACCAAGTTCAAGGAGCAGACAGTCCCTCTTTACTCCATTGCCAAAATCTAAACAGACAGGAACTTACAATTTAAACCAATCCCAACAAGGACATTCACAACTTCTTCAGATAGCAAGTTTACCCAGCCGAGCTGCCATGACCGTATCAATTCAATGTTTAACAACATTACAGACATGCATTTATCTTTGGTAAGTGCCCATCGAGAAAAAGAAAAAAGTAAATTTTTTTTTCAAATAAACAATGCTTTTCCCCAGGTTTTATAGGTCTATCACATATAATATATTAAACAAGGAAAACTGTAGCAGATTTTTAAACATTTAAATATGTGCCTTACTGAGGAGACGTTTCTCCATAGCATTGGCACTGCTGGTATTTTTGTTTACTCTCAGCAGTGGAGTCCCTTATCACGCAGGGAATTCTGTTACACTGTTTTGGCTGGGTAGTTCTTCCAGCTTGCCAAGAGAAAGCCAACACAGCGCTTGCAGCAACAAGGCAAAGACACTGCAGCCTCAGGCATTCTCTGCTGGAACAAGGACACCGCGCATCTTCTAGAAGTGGGGAATCTCAAGGCCAAGATTAAGTCCATCCAAATCTAGAAAGCTGCAAGGGGAAGCACATGTTGGCTGCAGTTACCTCTCCTGGACTCCACAGTTAGGCTGTAAGCCTTTTATAGTTCTAGGACACTCCGATACTGAGGTTTCGTCATAGCAGTGCATGTTCCACAAGTCCAGAATGAAGGTGTGAATCCTTTGAAGGTACAGGAACCATCTATTTATATACTGTACGTTACGTAACATTTTCTCTTTAGTTTTGTAATGTTCAAGGCAGGCAAGTGGAAACAGAAATTTTGATGGTGGAATCTTATTAATTTAGTTCCTGGGAGATAAAAGAAGCCAACATATGATGTAACAAGCCAGCAGCAATTCACAACTAAAATATCAGCTTTGAGTAAAGTTGGCCTTTAACATTAGGTGGAAATGGAGCAGTTGCTGGTTTCTGGGGACTCGCATAGCTTTAGGTGTCCCTGCCCACACACATTCACCCAATAATTATTCACACTATGGATGACATAACTTTACCCCTTAATTGGATACTATGAGACCAAGTATACATCTTAGCCATAAAATCACTTTCAATATGTGGCATACTGCTCTGGGACAGTGACATAAGTGCTTCTCCTTTAGGTCCAAAAATCATGAAACGGTCACTTATAGAAATGCTTTGTCACAAAATGCCTTCTCTTAATAAAAGCTACAGTTTTCCATTATAGGGTCAGTACAATCAAAACCAACATGGATGTCAGCAGGCTGAACCCATTTCTGTCCCTGCCATTCCTTCCTCTGGTTTTTGCCACAGGCAATGTAAATTCAAGCAAGGGGTATCCAGTTTAAGACTTTCCATATGAAGTGAAATAAAAGAAAAATACGGATGACTTGTTGGTCAACACAGAATGCCAGGTCAACGTCAGAGAGTCAGAGTGATTTAACCCATCAACATCCACCCAAAACTGAAACATTAGCTTTGAGTTGCCTGACCCTTTAATTAGCTGCCCTACTAAAAGTCATGGTCCATGTGCAAAATGCTTATTATGCCCATTTGTTCTTTACAGTGGAAAAGAGAAAAATAATCATTTACCCATTTACATGACTACAAATGCTGAGGTGTGGCTTTATGGATTCAAGGCAATATTTGCCAACCATGGTCCTTCTAGAAAGCTCAGGGAATACATTTTCTGGAAAACAGTCGATCAGCATGTACCTGTCATGCTTTGTTGCAAATCAATTCTTGCCTATCAGCTGACTAGAATCTAGTGATTAGTCCCTAGCAGGTTGATAGCCTGCATGTTTATGAACCAGTGCTCAGCTGCCTCTTCCGTATGCAGGTGACCAGTAACATATTAAGGCCAAATCCAGTGTATTACACAGTCCTAAAATGGAATTCTGTTATCTTCCCATTGAAAACAAAATCCTCCATATTTCTGGAAACATGTCTCCATCCTGAGATTGAGTTTAGCGCTTGAGTGCAGGACTTCTGTTCTCCATATCACGATTATCTTTCTGCAGTGCTGACAGAATCTGGAACACAAGACATGGCCAGTTTAATTGCTTAATGAATGTGATTGATGGCAAGATGTAAACTCTGCAGTTACAGAGAACTTGTTTCACACCTAGAAGGTTTTAGGTTACAGGTGTGTATAAGAACATCAGGAGAATGCCATCAGGGAGAGCAGAGACATGAACCACCAGATTCATTTTTGCTTTCTGATGACATTGCCTGGAATTACAATATGCTTTTCACAGTAGTTTGGTGGCCAACAGCTAATACACAGATAAAACAGATACATTAAATATTTAAAAGGGAGTGGTGTTAACCACCAAAATATTTCTGTCCATTAGACTTCTGTCCATCATTTCAGACACTAACACAAAATGAAGAACTCGTGGAGTGGGGTAGGGGAGGTGCCCAGGGGATGTGTCCTCTAAAGCTTTGCCAGTGTCCAAGCTCATGTATGAATACGCTGCTTGTGTCCTGTACTGTACAAGATATATATACACACATATATACATATATATATATATATATATATATACATATATATATATATATACACACACACACACACACACTTTTTTAAATCTTCTATCCTGAAGCATCCTCTCACCCTCAAGCTCACTCACTGTACACTGAAAGGGCAGCCAGAGACCATTAAGCAGTGCCTGGTGTGACGAATGTGGTGCCCGACCCCTGTCCTTCTCACCAACTCATAACAAATGACCAGCCAATCTCACATCTAGTATGTGGAATTGTTACATTGTGGAACAGACGTTTTATGGCACGCTCTGCATTCCGTCATGTGTGACGACTTGGCTGAGTTATTATTGTTTTACGATAGGGCAGAGGAAAGTGTTTTGCATGTCTGTGGAAACAGACATCCTGCCAAGACTAATTAGCCGTTTATAGCCTGGCCAGCTCTGTGTTTTAATTAAGATAACAGGTTCTTTTGAAGTTTGTTAAAAGTTACAGATTCAAATTTCATAGCTTTCAAAAGGAGGGAGGGGAGGAAGATCATTGCCCATGAAAAACAAAAATGGCTGTTACGTACAGGTTCCACATCTCTATTGCGCACAATAGTTACACTGGGATATCTGGATTTGTCCAGCACCCAGGATGTGCATGCTGAACTGCTGCCTCCTTCCCTAATGCGAACACATGGTACAGAATGGATGTACAGCCCTGTTCTCCAACAACCTTTTGCTCCAGCTGCCCATGGTTGGCATGTAATGTGCATTGCCCATGTGTGACTAATCTCTTACTTTCCAACAGTTGGATGGTGGTTACACATGTGTATTTTGTAGGATTATGGTGCGACAGCAGCAGCTGTCAGATTAGATATTAAGCCGTGGCCAGCCAATGATCTAGAATGCGTGTGTGGTGAGGGGAGTGCGACTTGCTGCATGGCCACCCTCTCCTTCACATAACAGTGCTTCCCTGCCTGCACCTCCTTCGCAGTTCTACTCATGAGGTCAAGAGTGAGCTCACTTGGCTTTCTCATTTTATCAGCATACTCCTTGCTATTACATTAGCATGCAGCACACCTGAAAAGTTCCCAGTACTGCCTCTTCCTCAGTCAATCTGAGTGCACCTGCATAGTTATTTCCACAGACTGATATTTTTATGATCTCTACATTTGCATGAAGTTCAGGTTTAAATGTGATGATCAAGAGAAAGCCCAAAAATACTTTCCTCCATTAAAGTAAACTTTTCCTAATGAAGCTGTCACTGTTGACCTCCTAAAAATGCTAGTTGCCTGGCTGTTAAGTTCTGGGTGCAATAGTCTAAGTCACAGACCTAGAAAACTAATGCAAAAAAGGACTTCTGTTAAGCTGAAAATTCTGAGGCTATGCTTCCTTCTAATATGTAAACCAAATAAATAAAGTGCAGAAGAACCCAATGTGCAAATGTATGAATAAGAATAATAATGTAAACGTGCAATATTCATAAAGTGAATGTCCATCAAATCCATGTGATAAAACAGTTCCCATGCACCACTCCGTGATTCTGTATAATCCTGGTATTCCTCAATGTGCAACAAGCCACCTTCACCAGAAAAATTGGCTGCTCAACTTTAAAAATTGACCCAAGCCAACAGGTAGTCATATGCGCTTTTAAGGCTATATAGAAGCTCCTACTAAGCTACCTACTGAGGAAGTCCTGCCTTTGAATGATACGCATGTAGCAGGGCGGAGCCACGTATATGACATCATCCCACGGCCATCCTACCTTACTGTGGTAACGCTAATTATTGGGCTTGTAAACCCGCATGGTGGAGTGCTTTTTATCGTAAGTGTATTCCCATTTTTTTATTAAATTGTTAAAAATTAAATATGGAGAACACTATGGGCTCTCTTTCTTCTATTGTATAATGGATGATTACTAGGAGTGTACTGGAACGTTGAGAAACTAAACCTGGAGCTTCCATATTCCCTTAAAGGAAAAAGCACATGTGACTACCTGTTGGCTCAAAGGTCAATTTTTAGAGGTGAGTGGCCAATTTTTCTGGTGAAGGTGGCTTGTTACACACTGAGGAATATCCAGGATTATACAGAATCACGGAGTAGTGTATGGGAACTGTTTTTATCACAGATTTGATGGACATTCACTTTACGAACATTGCACGTTTACATTATTATATATACATAAATATTATATATGCATAAATATTCGCACATTGGGCTGAGCTGCACTTTATTTGGTTTATGTATTGAGTTATGTGAAAAACCTACAGGTGGTGTTCAGCTTTTGCATCCTTTATATACATCAGATTGAGTTTTTGTTTTTGGATGACAGCTGAGATTGACACTTTTATAGTTATTGCCTTTCAATATGTGTCCCTGTTTAATCTTTCCAGCAAATTAGCTTTAATGTTCATGTGTAAATGGAGTCTAAGGTACGTCGTCAACAATGCCTAGGACAGAAAAGGCATACAGAATACACAGACCTGTGCAAGTGTACTAATCTGTTATTTGGTCCAGCAAATGCTCATGAACTCCTACCACATCATGTAAGAGTCTTACCTGTGACCATTTCTTGTTGCGGCTCTGCATCTGAATTGAGGCGATAGAGGAGAACAGGTCATCAGGGGACAAGTCCTCTGGGAGTTTGGTTAGAAACTGGGCAATATGAATGAAGTCCATTTTTGTCAAAATGTCTTCAGATAGTTTCAATATTCCCAATGCAGTCCTGAACAGAAACTCTTCTCCGTCCCGGCAGAAAACATCCCACACTCGGCATGCTAAATCCAGTGGTAGAGACTTGCTGTACAAGGTAAAAATCCTGCAAGACAGAAGAAGATTTTTACAGATTCCATTAATAATATTGCCTAGATGTCTAAAAAAAAAACAATACTGATGAAACAAAATTGGTTCTACAATAAAGTAGTAACTTTACAGCCATTTACACTGCATGTGACTCTGCTAGCAGAGAAGATAAGCTTTTTAATATTTCACCACCATTATTGGGGATGAGTGGAGTGATTTCACTATGAAATTACTCATTTGGCCTTTGGGAAACTGAAATTTTGAGGCTAATTTTAAATAAATTTCAGTAAAGTGTGCATTAGAAGCTGCAGAAAATCATATAAAGCCTACCTCATTTACTGACTGGAGGACATCAAGCATCATCTAGCACTTTCATTCCCAGCCTGACAGCCCTAGTCTGCCCATTCAGTCACGGAGGCTCAGAATCACATGAACCCTACCTAAAGCAGTCGATGTACATCCTTCCTAGGAATGGCCATTCCTCCATATAGACTATCACCCATCAAGACATTCTGATATTTATATTCCTCTTCTCATGAGCCAGCCTTCTGCTTGAATCAAGGCAGATGGCTGTTGAGAGGAGTAATGTGGCAGGGTGCTGTGATGTTTTCAGTATGCTACAAACAGCACATTGCTGGCCCCTCACACCAGCCATGATCTGCCTGCATTGCATAGTAAAGCACAAAGGGCCCCCAAAAAGGATGCCACTGGGACTAAAATAAAAGTATATAATGAAAATGGAAAAGTTTTATTTAAAAAATGAATTAAATTAAAAAAAAAAAAAAAGGTAGGTTGGTAAGGGAGGAAATGAGGAACAAAAGAAAGCATATTGCTTCACAATGAAACCAAACTGTTAAAAAAAAAAAAAAAAAAAAAAAACAGCTGTCAGGCTCAGAGAAGCATGCTAAAAAGTCCATGTGGACTCTGGAGGAGCAGCCAGAGCTGAAGGGGGAGAGCCAGAGAAGCTAACGGCAGGGAGGCTCTTTTCTGGTGGGAAAGCATTGCCTATGAGACCTCCTGATTCTCTCTGCCATTCGGCTACTGCCCAAGACAGTTCTTACCGTGTTAGAACCTGTACTTCACTCTGAAGTGTAGTGAATACAGTCTTACTTCCTCCATCTGCGACAGCAGCAATCCTGTACACAGGTATTCACAGGTATTCACCCAGCTACCCCTGCTTGTAGCTGCATGGTCTTTCTTACCCAGGGTGGCAGTGATTACTCCCAGTCTTCCACAGCAGGTGCCAGTCAGCTACCACATCCTCCTCCCCGACAGCAGCAACTGGGGTTCATTCACACTTGGTGTGCTCGGACTGCGTTTGGGCACCTATTCTAGTGCAGTCCCACAGCACAACAAGGCAAAATGCCTAGTCTCCATTTTTGCCTGGTTCACATCATTATGTTGTGGTTGTGTGCCCTGAAAAAAGTACTTTTTATTTCAGTGCAGCATGAGGCAATCTACTAATTGACACATCGCCACTGTGGTGACCCTGCTGAACGGCATTGTAACGCAGTGGCTGGTGTGAATTAGCCATCAGTCTTTTTCCCCCATGGATGGCAGCGATTCATCCCAGCCTGCCACTGTACATACAGAAGTTGGTCAGTTACTATTGGTTTGGCCCTGCACAATAGTCCCAGACTTCTTATGCGGCCCCTTGGGAAAAAAATGCCCGCTCTTTAGAATGTACATTCTGAGCATTCTCCGTGTACATTCTTCAGCACACCTTGGTGCTGGAATGAATAAAATCCTGTGTGCAAGAGTTATGTCATTCCACTCCAGCCAATCAACATGAATGAAGATCCTTAACCTGGAAGAAGACTGGGTAAAGGTGTCAGCAGTGAGGGGCGGTGTGATAAATTCTGCTTAAGTTGTCATCCTCCAACTGCCAGCAGGTGTCAGTCCTGTCCTACTGCAGTACACAGACATGTTAAATTCATACTCTCTCTCTTCTGTATTACAGGGTTTCCCCCGATTTGTAGATCTTGTTAAGGGGACAGCAGCTGAGAAGCAGAATACCAAAATACCTATTATGTGTAGTCAGCGTACACTAATATTATTCTATGCTAGAATTTTGCAAATGTAAAAGGGAGATATAATCATGCAAACAAATTAATTATTTACCTGCAAAGCACAAAAAAAACATTTTTAGATGATCTAAGGCTTTGTTCACAAGTGCTTTAGCTTGTATAACAGTGGGCTTTATTTACTAAAGATGGTTCACACATTATCTTGTGCATGTCTGCATAGAAACCAATCAGCTTACAGGTTTTATTGCTAAAGCCTAATTGAACAAGCTGAGGTTAGAAGCCGATTGGCTACCATGCACAGGTGCACCAGATTCTGGGTGAACCAGATTTAGCAAATGAACCCTAGTGTGCTGCAAATTCCAAAACTTTCAGCAATCTTCGAGTATCTTTGAGAAGCCTATAAAACAACCTGTAAAGCAACTTCTAGTTTGACAATGGTAAGCACAGATCTTAGGCCAAGTTTAGTTGTGCGGTTGGGGGGCAAGAAAGAAGCTCAACAACCCCACACACCTCCCAACCTCCCTCCCACTTATGCTTCGATAGGCAATGAACCAGGGTGTGTTTACATTGCTTCCTCATCGCCTGTCAGTAGCCTCTGAAGAGTGATCCGAACACGGCGTGGGCTTGAGAGCAAAGGGAGGTTTGCAAGCACATCTAAATCTACCCTAAATGTAAAATGTATCACTTCTATATTATGTTTTTCCTGAAACAATAGATCAATAAATACACATTCAGCTCCTATATTTAAGAAATGTATCCAAACCGAATGGAATTTAATGTTAATAAGTATAAAATATACCTTTACATGGCTGTTTTTTTAAACAAGCTGCTAGCAGCTTCAATTGAGTTCTCAGTAGCAATGAGCTTACTGAGTGATAGCACTTCATGTGTCCAAATCTAGTGCTTCTTTGAAGAGCGATTTAAGCTCGGATCATTTTTCTGAGGCGATGGGGAGGAGACGATATGATGGCTCCTCACCACCTATTTTAACCTCATTGTTGCTGACAAATATGCTGCAACTGTGTATTGCACATGGTTGTGGGGCATTTGTGGCGCTTCCTCATTTGCCCACATTAGTTCAGTGGGCTTCTGCCCACCAGTCACATCATGTTGAGTAGTTTTTGCTGTGTGCGTGAAGTTAACAGTGAACCATGGCAAACCACCCCCCCTCCACTGCGGTTTGAAGCTTAAGGGGGGGGGGGGGAAAGAGGAAGGGGGAGGAGGAATGGAGCGCTAAAAATGCAGCTTAACCATGGATTTTCACCACCCTAATTGCACAACTAAATGAGGCCTCAAAATACCATTCAGCTCCAGTTTGTAAATGTTGAACACAGACCCCAACGAGTGCTGATTGTCACTTTACACAAGCTACTAGCAGATTTCAGCAGCCTTTCAACAAGCTATAAGTCGTGCTGAAGGCTGCTAGCAGCTTGCTTAAAAGTGACAAATCAGTAATTACATTAGGGTCTGAGTTCAATATTTACAAATGGAGGCTGAATGGTACTTTAACATCTTTAACAAAACTTGCTGAATGCTTTGTAAAAGCTTGCTGTTCACACTGTTCCTATACAAGCTAAATCCAGTATCAAACAGGCCTTAAATCTTCACAAAGCCTGAAGCGAACCAAAAGCTTTCCAAATGTGTTCTAAAAGCTTTATGGACGCACTGCTCTTGTACAGACTGAAATCAGTGTGAACAAAGTACTGAGGCATCCCATTGCAATCAATTGGTAATAAATCTCCTATTTTATTATTATTATTTATTTCAGGTACTTATATAGCGCTGTCAATTTACGCAGCGCTTTACATATATATTGTACATTCACATCAGTCCCTAACCCTCAAGGGGTGTACAATCTAAGGTCCCTAACTCACATTCATACATACACATACTAGGGCCAATTTAGACAGGAATCAATTCACCTACCAGCATGTCTTTGGAGTGTGGGAGGAAACCGGAGAACCCGGAGGAAACCCACGCAGGCACAGGGAGATCATGCAAACTCCAGGCAGGTGGTGCCGTGGTTGGGATTCGAACCAACGACCCTAGTACTGCCAGGCGGAAGTGCTAACCATTTAGCCCAGCCTTTGTGTATTTCAGCCCATCATAGGTTTTGAGAGGTTACTGGCAGCAGGACTGGAAGCTGAACCTGTGTCTTCCAGTTCATAAAAGTGACAGAATTTGATGGACAGGGGTTAAACATCCAGTGAGCATGAGAGTTTTAATAAGGCAACGTTGAAGCCCAACTCACTGTACTCTTAATGGCTGTTTTGTATTGTCATCCTATAAGCCCTATTCCATAGCAGCCATGGTTTCCATACCAAACAATGAGCTTGTAATAGTAATATTGAATTTGGATAAATGGGTTTACGTTTAGGCCTTGACTGGCTGAACTGCTGGAATGCACACAGCACACATTGGAGGAAAAACCAACATAGATTCTCTTATACAGGATCATCTGTGAAAGCCCCAGGAAATACCACTTCCTGTTCAATTCAGGCCTTTTTTATTCTTAATCTCAGATATGGTATTACTAATACGGTATTTCCAACTATCGTTTGCACAAGGTTTTCTTTATGGATATCTAATGGATATGGTGGCTCACTTCATGGGATTTAACCTACACCCCAGGCACATATAAAAAAAAACACAAAAGAGTGCACATCTGTATTCATTAATACAGGATTAAATGTTTTTTAAATGCAAGCATTTCAAGTACCTGAATATGACTCGGTATCAACTATGCAAATAGAATTCAGACAGGAGAAGCTGCACAAGTGGGGGGAGATCACCTCCCTGCCAAATAAATATATATGCACTTCAGCTGTGTATTTACCTGCATTTCTGCTTTAAGGAATCAATGCTCAACACTATGAATCAGAGGATTCACAAGTAGACATAAGGGGTAAAAAGGAATAATTTGAGTATATGCGTCCATTAACCTAAATTTATGTTTGTATGCTATAAACTCATTGGTGTAAATTAATACTGTTTAAATTAACCCAAAAACATTGATAGACGCTTACCAGTCTATTAGGTAGATATCTGGCGTCAGATTGTTTTTTTCTTGAAGTGCGCAAATAACCTAGGCAAATTTTCTTCAAAAAATACTTCAAATGCTGCAAAGTAAGTCAACATCTAGAAAAATAAACAGTGAAAGGGCATGTTTAAAAACTGCACTATTACCATAAGCAAAGCATATGTACAGGTAAGAGAAATACTATAAACAAAACTGACTGAATTCCTAAAGTATTAAACCCAAAAGCAAACATTATATTACAGCTTACCAATCATTAGATGTGGTGGCTGCATAGATGTGGTGGCTGCATTGGTTTTCCTTTTTAGGCTCTCCCCCCTTATTTTCACCTGGCGATCTCACCAGTGAGTGTTATTTTTCAAAAGAAAAAGCAGACTTTCAGATGTAGCAGTTAGAGGGCTAGACAAACCATTTACCACTGTCAGGGGTGCTAACAACGGTCAGCTTTTATTTATTTTTTTTTTTTTTTTTTAGGTAAAACGTTTACCCAAAAGGAAAAAAAAAACAAAAACTTTTTTTGTAACTGCTTATGAAGTGTTAGCTAGAGTTCAGCTTCAATTTGTTAGTGTAGGTAAATCTGCGAGTACATCTAACACTCCTCTCCCCCCAGCCAGACAAGCCTGCTTTTCAAAGGTGCCCCCTGTGCTCCTTCATCCAGAGTGAGCACACTCTAATACAGGTGTGTTACTGGCCAGATCACCAGGTGAAAACAGAGGGAAAAAGTCTTAAATGTTTTAGGTTTAATACAGCTTTAATTTTCACAGCACATAGCTTTCTAGACAGTTGGGTCAACTCATAACTTTCCATCTATGTTAATATTTTGTATGTAAAGAACGATTTACAAAGATTATTGCACATCTTTTTACTCCATAAAGCAATCTTCTGCTGGGAATTAACTGTGAGGAAAGCAGACACTAGGCCTTTGTAGCAGAGGATAAAAACCCATTCCTGATATAAAATGTTGATTTATGAGAAATTAAAGTGCTAGTAAACCACCACTTAAAATGTATATGAATAAAAACAAAAAAAACTGGGCCCTGCAGGTTTAAGTCATAATGTACCTGCAGGCACTGCATACTAGCACATTATGACAGACTTACCTAGACAGAGCCCTCCAGCGCAGGGCTCCCAGTTGCATCCACCTTCATCTGGTGTTCCTACCAGGTTATTGGACTCCAGCTGCATGAATGACCGGAGCCGTGATCACTCCCTCACATGCATATGGCAGCCCCAGCACAGAGCTCCAAAGCTCTGTGCGGGTATGCCGTCACATCAGAGTACATGCTTCAGTGATGTCCCCCGGCTGCATGGTGTGTAAATATCTCCTAAACAGTGCAAGTTTAGGAAATCTTCACTGTACCTAGAGGTAAGCCATATTATAGACTTACCAGTAGGTACAAGATAATGGTGGACTTTACTTCCACTTTAAGGATTTCAGGAGTTAGAGCGTAACTAAAAACTCAATGTTCTCTAGTTTTAATCCTTCGCTGCTTGGCCTAAATTTTTTTACTATTTATTTTTACACATTTCATTAGTTGCTTCCTGGTTTATAGCACAGACCAAAATTATGTCATACACACCAGGAGTCTTCATGGGCAATTTTGTTTAGTCTGGAAGAGGGCTTTTCTCAGCTAAGCATACTCCTGTCTGCTTTCCTGAGCTTTGGATTCCAAGAAGTAAATGCTACATGAATCATCTATCCTTGCTCAAGATCATTACGGCTAGAAATGCTAGAGGCAAGGAGGATATTGTAATTCAATGTAATTTCTTAAAAAAAATAAAGCATAGAGCCATGGATGGATGGCTGGCTGAGTATGCATTGAATACTAAAAATGAACTAAATAGCTTTTTTTTAAGTTTGTGGTGCTCTGATACACTTTAAATAAAAATAAGTCATGTTAAAAAAAAAAAAAATCACACTGATATTTTGTATGCATATTGAAGGTTTATGACAACATTATCATGTAATGAAATAACAAATGCATTTACAACAAAAAAGTCATGCAACTAAATGAAATAACCCAAATGTCAATTAAATAGCAATACTTACAAGGCCATGGTCCACTCTGAAAAATGCCATCTGACAGGGTTTGTTTAGGAGGTTTGCAAAAGCGATAAAGGCATCAGCAGTATCTAGGTTCAGGATCAAAACAGCAGCTATAAAAGACATGCCCTGTACCTGGAACACAAGGGGGCAATGGAAGATATCAGTGAACAGGAAAACAGCATGTTCTGTACACACACTGCAATCTGGGACACGTATTCTGTATTGTGGGGACTGCTGACTGCATCTGTTATCCTCATGCAATACACAAATGGGGTCATCATACCATGGTTTTCTATACATGCATACGTTCATAAGTATTCTTTATACAGCAAACTTACATAACCGACATCGGGTCTGTAACAAGTGTAGGCTCCTAAAATACTGTGCAGCATGTCATGGTAAGGACCACCCTGAAATGAGAAAAAACATAAAACAGAAAACATCAACACAATCTAGTAACTGGGCAATATTCTACAAACAGCCTCTTTAATCCCTTTCAGTTGGCAAGGTGATCTTAGGAGTTTCCTAGACTTCCTGATCGAGTGATCACTGTGATTGGTGGTCAACAGTGGTCAGGTGATTGGTAACCAGGGGCAGACTGACCATTTGGAAACTCGGGCACTGCCCGGGGTCAGTAATGGGCCCCATGAGATGCCCCTGGTACCTTTCATAGGCTTTTTTTGGTGTGGTTTGAGTGTGGGCGAGGACACAGGGGCCCCATGACCCCCTATTGCCCGGGGGCCCCATGAGTTGTTAGTCTGCCCCTGTTGGTAACCCATCCTATTAGTTCCCCATTGTAACAGTGACTGGGAGCGGTGACAGTGCAGTCACAGTGCTGGGGACACACAATTGTGACCACAACAACGCCAGCTGGGCACATATATGTAGCAATTAAATCCCACTGCCATGCTGCCACATATCAGTGTGCAGCTGCCGGGAAGGAGGTTAAAGCAGAATGACGCCTACTTCATAAAAAAAAAAAATGCAAGCAGAATTACTTTTTTGGGTAGAAGACTGTTTTGTCCTTTATGCAAAATAGACATACAGTTTATTTTTTTTTATTTATCCATGACTAAGTAATGTGTGCATGAGTAGGAGTTACTCTCAGCGGCCAAACAATAGCTGAAGAAAGAAGACGTTGAACTCAGACAACATAAATGTGCAAATACATTGTGCATACCTGCACATCATGGCAATTACTCCTGGGCACCATGCTGATTCAGTTCTGTTTTAAAGTGACCCTATGCTATGTGTAAGGCAAAGCTACAGATTCACTTTAAAGCCAGCTAGCCTGTAATTGCCAACTCCAACTTGACCCTAGTCAGAGCCAACTGCCAAACACCACCCCCTGTCATGTGTGAGGAGTTTAGCGAGTTAAAATGCTGAAAGTACTGGGTATTTCTCCTCACTTCATGTAGAAATGAACAGCAGCAGGGAATAAAAGGAAGGAAGCAATTACCAGTTGTAGAGGCCGCCATTAAAGTGAACAAGTTGGTTTTTATTTGCATGGGCACAAATTTTTACTTTAATGCACAACTATTTTTTTTTCAGTTATCTTGCAGGAGTCTTTAAACCCTAGACACAGAGTGTATGAAAATTTGCATACCATTTGAAAATACATATGTGCTGAGAGCGCGCACCCTGCACACTCTCAGCACATATGTCCGTGACTCATGGAAAGGTCCCAATCTCCCCTTGCGATCGGGACCTTTTCCGATCATGTGACCACCGTGACAGCGAATCACTGCGGTCACATGCCTAAACCCCAGCCCCGCCTCCCTACTTCTGAAACTCTTAAAGGGCCGGGAGGCGCCGGCATAAAGGGGTTAAAGTGGTTGTAAAGGCTCAAGGTTTTTTACCTTCATGCATTCTATGTATAAAGGTAAAAAACCTGTGTGCGGCAGCCTCCCCAGCCCCCCCCCCCTCCAAAACCTACCTGAGCCCCCTCTCTAACCAGAGACGTGCACAAGAGCCTTAGCCCTCCAGAGAATCTTGCTCCTCATTGCCTGAGACAGCAGCAGGAGCCATTGGCCCCTGATGCTGTCAATCACAGCCAATGAGGAGAGAGAGGGGTGGAGCAGAGCCTCCGGAGCAAGCCTGCTTGGGTGCCCCTATAGCAAGCTGCTTGCTCTGGGGGCACTCAGCATGAGGAGGGGGACACGAGAAGGAGGATTGGTGTTGCTCTGTGCAAAAACCACTGCACAGAGCAGGTAAGTATAAGATATTTGTTATTTGAAAAAAAAAAAATGCCTTCAATTTCACCTAACATCGTTTTACTGCACAATCAACTTTCTCTAAGCCTATGAATTGACTATTCAGCGAGAATGATTAGAATAAAGCTGGGAAACAATCTTTCTAGACACAATGCAACCTCTGTTGATACCCGCTGGCTGAACAATCTTAGCAGGAGAATACAACAGTGAAAGATTTTTTACAAAGTATTTAAGTTTATCACGTTGGTTAATGGCTGCTGAACAGGGCGTGTGACAAAGAGGACGTATGTAGATATTACATTCAGTGAGAACCATAAGCCAAAATGACCAGTAGATGAAATATAGAAATCTTTACTTTTCCTGATTTTTATATATTCCTGAACATGTGTTTGAACTAAGAAAAATGTTCTTAGATTCAGAATGCAAAAGATAAATGTCCAAGACGATAACATTTAGCAAATATTTTAATATTGACACATACCTTCTGGAAAATACATAGATTTGGGAACGTCCGAGAAATATCCAGTTTTATGAGCTCCAAGCTGGCTTCACGGTCAGCTGCAGACAAACCTGAGTCTATATAAACAAAAATTAACAAAATGAATAAATTCTCACATCACTGGTAAAAGTATTTCAGATAGAAAAATATTCTCTTAACATTAGAAGGCTAAATTAGTTTCTGTATATAGAGAGCAGCAGAAAGCCATGTGAAAGCGGAAGCCTGTTAAACAATCATGGACTGATTAGGTACAGAAAACGTTGGTTACCTTCATTTTCCACTTCAGAGCCGCCCATGCTCAAGAATTTCCATCTGTCTTTGGCCCGGGACAAGCAAATGTCATATAGCTCTGGAAAATGCACATGAATACATCATCATTGCTTTTCACAAGGCTCTGCAATACTTTGCACTATTGTAAAGAATAGGAGCTTTCAACAAAGAACTTTCCATCTAAATGACAATCTTTCATCCTCCATTATTATGTCAAAGGGACATTTTTAAATGCACTTTTAGGACTAATGCACACAGGACGTTAATATAAAAAAAAAACAAAACAAAAAAAAAAAAAAAAAAAACACCACACCTCTCCTAAAAGCCTTTCTCCTGGCAACAGCTTTTGCAAAAAAAAAAAAAAAAACCAACAAAAAAAAAAAAACGGCTGAAGCTTGTGAAAGTATCTAACGCTTTTACAAGCGGTTAGAAGCATCAATCGCTTGGGCATGTGTTCATTTAATTTGCCAGAATAATAATTTATTCTGGCCATTGAAATTAACGCTCATGCACTAAACACCCCCCTGGCTTTTTTTTTTTTCCTGCGCGGGTAAATGCTACTGCTACTAAAAGCTTCTAAAAGTCTATGTGTGCATGGACACATAGGATAATGTGGAGGACCATTTAGAAGCAGTAAAAAAAAAACAAAACAAAAACAAAAAACCCCCGGACGCCCCTAAAAGTGGCTGCAAAAACACCGTGTGCATGAGGCCTTAAAGTGGACCCAAGGAAACTTGTACTGAGAAAAAAAATTGAGCTTTTTTGGCTAATGATTGATTTTCTCGCTTTAATATATTCAAGACAATAACTCCAGACAAAATCCGCAGATAAGGTTTAAGTTGATGCATGCTTGATCTCTGAGCATACTGAAGCCAGGGGCAGCCAGGCAACTATTCAGAAGGGCATTACCATTCTGCACACTGCCTACACATCTCTCTCAGTAAGGTTTCCTTTAACTGAAAGCAATGTTATAGGTCTTGCTTAAAGAGTAAGAAAAAAGCTGAAATACGTTTTTCTGGACAAAATGCTGCTTTGCTGGGGAAGAGGGAAAAAAAAAAAAAAAAAAAAAAAAAAAAAAAAAAAGGGTTTCGGGTGTCTTGTTTAAATTTAGGTAAAGTGTTATGAAACCCAAAATGAAAAATGTTATATATTGCAGCTTATCAGTCCATTGATGACATTCCCATTATTTTCACCTGGTAGTCCTGCAAATCACATGCTTCCTGTCCCTGGGTGGTTACATTCATACATTATATATATATATATATATATATATATATATATATATATATGATGATGGAGCCAATCAGAAGATTATATATATGATGGAGCCAATCAGAAGAAGAATACAAGGTTTCTTTGAATTGTTGAGAAACACTCATTAAGACTTGGTTTTGATCGGCAGCAGATGGAGAGTCTCCTCAGATGCTGCCAGAACATACAGCTGCTACAGTATGATACAACGTTGTCCGAGGTCACGTCACTTAGCTTGTCTGGGCCAGCTTGGACCAAATGAACTATTTCAAGGCTTTATTACTACAATTATTTGCAAAACATTATAGTAAAACAATTGTATAACAGCAGTTCAAAAAACTAAAACAAAGAAAATGAACCCCAAATCATTATGGTTTCCCTCCAAGTGATGGAGGATGGATTTGCAGGATTTAGACTTACCATGGGTAATGTTTAACTCATTGCCAATTGCCAGACTCCAGACTTTCCCTCTCACACTGGGTGGTATTCCCTGCCACCACATTTCTCGAACTCTCCGGGAAGAGCACCTAGTGGAATAAACAAGAGTGAAGGATATTTGCCACACACATTTAGGCAATATTTACCTTTCATTGTTATAATAAAGTGTAGAACAAGTTTTCCAACACTGCGATTGCTCTCTATGAGAGATGACTTTAGCTTGCTATGTAGTGCCTCCTGCCTGCTGTCCCTGGATTGAAAAATCGAAGGAGCCAGGTAGAAAATTGTCAGCCAAACAGCATCATTTCAGATGTAGGCACTGTTAAAGTAGTTTGACAGCTGGCGAACAAGCCGTCAAAATACATTAGCTGAAGCAGATTTGTCCATCCAAGCTGTATAGCGGGGATGGAGGAATCTGCTCGATATATCGCCGATTAAGCAAATGCACTTTGGCACTTCTCTAAAAATGCCTTTATTAGACTACAGATTCCCTTTAATCACACTAGCCCCCCCCCCCTTCCCCTAAGTCTGAAAAAAGCCATATTTCTCACATGGTTTCCCAGTTGGGTAGAATCTCAGTGTTCCATGTTAGAGCTGCATTTCCAATACTCTCTTCCAGCTTGCATCGCTCTTCCAGTTGTTTCTTCCTCCTCTGGGCCTCTTTAAATTCTGAAAACACAAAGGATAATTAAAAATGCAGTACGCATGTAACAGTACTCTGCAGGCCTAGCGTAACCCAGCTTGAAAGGAAACCTAGAAACTGGAAGGATGTTAAATAGCTCAGATGAAAGCGTACTTGTTCGGCTCTATGGGGAAAGCAGAATTCCTCTGTGACTGGCTCATTATAAATCAGAAATCTGGCAGATATAAGGCACATTTTGGAACAGAGACAAATATCTCTTCATACAGAGCAAGAAGTACAACACAATATGAACAAGGACAGCCAGAGATACCGCTAGGCAATATTCTAATCTGGTCAGAAGTCAATGGATTTACAGTATTACCGAGACTGCTATTAAAGGAAACCTGTACTGGCAGAAACCAGGATGCTGCCACTGCTTACCTCTTTCTGAAAATGTCAGTTGCCTAGCTTTATATGGATTCAGTGGCTAAAATACTTTGACCTAAAACTAGTATGCAGCTGAGTTCTTCCTTCATTGGTGGCATGCTTGTTATTGGTTTATATAACTGGCAATCATCTGAATAGACATGCAGCCATGCAACTAGTATTTCAGGCAGATGGTCAGCAATAGCAGCCTTGACTTTTTTTTTTTTTCAAGTGGATACACAACACATTAAAGTACATGTTATTCCAATAACTAAACTCTCATATAAGCTTTAACATATTTTAAAAACAAAAATTTTAAATCTGCAATGTTCACTAAAGTAATACTTGATTCTGTCATAAGGCTCCTTGCTCAGATACTCATTGTTATAAGATGACAATGCTCTGTCTCTGTGCTCCTGCGTGGTCACCCTGTCACAGGGGGCTTCAAATGGAGACCACAAGTAGCAATTTCAACACACATTACTCAATCATAGTCTGATGTTGTCACCATCAGGAAACCCTTCCTGAAAAATGCTATCACTAGAGTGGGGAAATGAATACATGTAGATGGGAAGTGGCTGCATAGAGGCTTTAGGAGACTAGCAGCACTGAGATGTACGATAATAATAGACAGAAAATGTGAAAAGTATTTTAATAAAAGAAATAGCAACTGTTTGTAATACATTGTACTTTAAAATGCTACAGTTCATCCATTTAGGGTTTCATATTTGCTTTAAACAGATTTTCTATTTTACCAGTATATTTGTATAGCTTAATACTTAAAGACAGCTTCTATATCTTACAGAATGCAGGAGGTTATCTATATCCATACTGCAACTGAGCCCTCCTACAAGTATTAAGCTTTCCCTCTGTTTTGGTGGGCATTTGACTCAAGCAGAGCACTTCTCTCCTGCATTACGAGAGTTAAGCAGCTGAAAATCCTCACTAAATGTTCTTTTCCATGCCCCAGTAATAAATCATTATTTCTGAAGTGAAAATGACATCCATTTTTTTGGAAGACTAATGTCAAGGTATGGAGCGAACGGTTTGAAGGTGAGAAATGGGTCCAGGTGTATAATTCAACATGTCTCCTTAAACATCTGTTTTTCAGAGATTTCTTCCAGTTTCAACAAAACGTTTCTATCATTTCCTATGAAGGAGCAGTTTAGATATCTTAAAGTGACCCCAAAAGGTTTATTTTTTTTTCCTAAAGTACTAGAGATGTTATACTTACCTGCTCTGTGTAATGGTTTTGCACAGAGTGTGCCCAATTCTCCTATTTTGGGGTCCCCTCGCTGGTGCTCTTGACTCCTCCTCCCTTCACAGTGCTCCCATAGCAAACCATTTATTTTTAGGTAGAGCAGTGTTTTTCAACCTTTTTTGTGCAAAGGCACACTTTTTTCATGAAAAAAATCACGAGGCACATCACCATTAGAAAATGTTAAAAAAATTTATTGAAAAAAACTTTTTGACTTGAGGGCCGCAATGGGTTCATATATTGGACCCGGGGGCCGGACCAAGAGTAGATGAATGATGTGTATGTGTCATCCATAGTAAGTATAGTAATATTCCCCCATAGTAAGCATAGTAATTCATCCCCCATATAGTAATTCATCCCCCATATAGTAATTCATCCCCCCCTATAGTAATTCATCCCCCATATAGTAATTCATCCTGCATAGTAATTCATCCCCCCTATAGTAATTCATCCCCCCCCCACGTAGTAATTCATCCCCCACGTAGTAATTCATCCCCCACGTAGTAATTCATCCCCCACGTAGTAATTCATCCCCCATGTAGTAATTCATCCCCCATGTAGTAATTCATCCCCCATGTAGTAATTCATCCCCCATATTAAGTCCCCAAGCCCCCCTGTGTCAATTCACTTACCTTTGCTCCGCGCGTTCCTCTCGCCGTTCCGGTGTAGCATGAAAATCTGTCTCCTATGAGGATCTGTCCCCTTCGACGTATCTGCGCATGTGCCAGTTTCAGGCATTAGCAGCCGATCGGCGATCTCCGGCACATGCGCAGATACGTCGAGGGGGACAGATCATCCTGACAGTATCACGCTCCGCGGGCCGGATTAAAAGGTCCGCCGGGCCGTATACGGCCCGCGGGCCGTAGTTTGCCCATTGCTGTTCGAATGATTGGTCTATTTGTGAGCCGAGGCCACATGTTACGGATGGAATTGCAATTTTTTCCCACGGCACACCAGACAATATCTCACGGCACACTAGTGTGCCGCGGCACAGTGGTTGAAAAACGCTGAGGTAGAGAGTACAAAGGAAGGAGGCAAAGATTAGAAATTACATTTCTGGGATTAAAGCAGGCTGAAATGAATAAACAAAGCATATCCTACTATAGTGTGTAATTGCCTCTACCCCAAAGCAGAGTGTGATTTCGGTCTCCTCTCCCATTCCTCTGCTATCTGCATGAGTCACTTCTGAAAGTTTTTAGGCCAGGGGTAGGCAACCTGTGGCTCTTTAGCTGTTGTGGAACTACATTTCCCATGAGGCATTGCAACATTACAAAACTGACAGTTACAGCTATGATGTGCAATGGTATGATGGAAGTTGTAGTCCTGCAACACCTGGAGAGACACAGGTTGCCTACCCCTGGTTTAGGCGGACACCAAAGCAATCCCTGGAGACAATTTAAAGCGGACCTCCATTCTCTATTGAAAACAAAGTCAGCAGCTACAAAAACTGTAGCTGCTGACTTTTAAAAAACAGCCACTCACCTGTCCCTCGATCCAGCACTGTCCTCACCGCAGCCGGGTTCACTGGTCGACCTGTGTCCCTGATGCCAGCATCTTAAACGTGGGCATCTCCAGCTTGTCACAGCCGGGTGCCCACTGTGTATTGCTGAATGGTCCGACATATCCCTCTGTGACCTGTCATGGTAAAAGTGGAGCATGGTACAGCTTGTTCAAAATTGGTTACAACCCACCTACGGTCCCCCAAAGGTTCGCAGGAACGTGAAGTCTAAAAACGTGGAACTAATCCACCTGTTCTGGTGGAGCTCCCGCCCCCCTAAGTTAACTAATGGATGCTTCGAAAATGCCCATAATATATAGACCTTTAGCCGGTTTAGTACGAGGTAATGCACATTGCCTACTGTGTCCCCCCGCTTGGATCTAAACTACAGAGAAGTGGAGGCACACTCCATCATTGTGCTCACACAGAATAGCCTCTGTTTAGACTAAAATGAGTGAAGTTCAGCGAGAGAGAGTGAGAAGAGATTGAGAGGGGGGACAGTACCCTTATCGGGTGTGGAAGGATAAGGCTTCGATCACGTGAAGAGTGTGATTGAGAGTGGTGAGGTGGATTGGAGTTTCCAGAGTAGGAACGAGAGGGGTGGAGGACGTTTTGGGGCGAGGGTGATGGGTAGTCTAGTCAGGAGAGCTAGGAGAGGGTTTGTAGGATGTTGGTCCTAGCAGGAGAACATTGTGTATAATGGAATCTATACTAGTCGGCAGTTGAGAGGGATGAGTTGGAGAAGAAAGGGGGCATCAGCGGGACATGAAATTTGGTGAAACCGACTTAAGCGGCGTGCGGAGAGGGAGTGGACGAGGGCGGCGTAAAGAGAGCCGAGCACAGGTTTCCTGGAGGTGGCGGAGACAGGTGGGGTGAGAAGGTGAGTTAAAGAAGAGGCTTGTCACAGAGAGTCGGAAGCTAGCTACCGAAGGTTTGGATTGACCGGTGCGAGATGGGTGTCACTGTCTTGAAGAGGTTCCGTGGTTATCTAGTGGGATGTGGAGGGTGGGTGTTTGCGAGTGAGTGCGGGTTGGGGATTGCGTGGATGAGACGGTAGGGTATAGTGTGAGAGGGGGGGGTGCAGAAGGGAGAATGTGGGGGAGCGAGACCTGAGCGGTTCAAGGAATACAGTTGTGGACAGAGGCGGGCGGGTTGTGTACTTGGTTGATGGGGGACTCTTGGTGGGGGGAGTTGTTCCGCGGTTAGAGACGAGTGATCTGGGGTGCGGGAGGTGCGCACTTCTTGGGCCCCCGAAATGTGGGGAACCTGGTGATGGTGGGTTGGAGGGGTGGATGAAGTCTCGATTGGGGGGGGTGGGGGGGGTGGGGTGGGGGGGTGTTGGGGTGGGGGGGGGGGGTGGGTCTGGGGGGGTGTGGGGGGGCAGTGGTGTGGGGGGGTTGGGGGGGGGGGGGGGGTTGGTTTGGGGGGGGGGGGGTTTGTTTGGGGGTTGGGGGTGGATGGGGGGTTGGTGGTCTAGTTGGGGGGTGGGGGGGTGGGGGGGGGGTAGTGGGGGGGTGGTGGTAAATGGGGGGGGGGTGGGGGGGGGCCAGGGGGGGGGGGGTGGGTGGGGGGATGGGGAGGGGGGGTGGGTGGGTGTCGGTCTGGGGTGGGGGGATGGGGTGGGGGGGGGTTGGGCCAGTATTGTATGTGGGGTGTGGGGGAGAGATGGGGGGGGGAGATGGGGGGGGGGGTGGGGGGGGTTGGGGGGGCAGGGGGTGGGGGGGGTGTGGATGGGTTGGGGGGGGGGGGGGGGGGGGGGGGGGGGGGGTGGGTGGTATTTGGGGGGGTGTGGGGGTGGGTTTTTGGGTGTCTCCCGTTTGGGGTGGGGGTAGGGGGGGGAGGGGGTTATTGGTGTGGGGGGGGGG